CAGTGCCGTGTTTCATCCAGGCACTCTTGAAATTGGTTCCTCATATCCCAATGTGCCACTACTGTTTTTTTCTCAAATCAAGAGGGGGTGTGATAAGTGACTGTCGATTTGAACGAAAATAATATAGTATACCTAATCCAACCTCAAGAACCATGGTTTGCATGCTCCAAGAACACTCCCTGAATTCTGTGTAGGCCTGTAGGTGGATTACCGCAGTTGATGCACGTTAATTCGTCTGGGAGCCATGTCTCACCTGGTTCAATGTGTTGATGCGTGAGTGGCATTTGTGCACATCCTAGCTCAAAGTTTTTAGGAGGGAACATTTCATGTGTGTTGAATGATCCTGCGGCGTAACTTGTCAATGTTCAAGAATCTCACAGTTCGACACTATCCCTATGCCAAAACTTCGTCCCATTCGCAGCCCAATGAACTCATTTGCACAATATTGAATGACCTAGCATGAATGTAATAAGTGTAAGGTAAGAAGGCCCAACCTGTTCCAGCACGACATAGAGAGTCACTGGCGAGTACTGCTGAACATCGAAATTGTAAATCTGGGTTTGACAGAGTCCCCGGGTAAACCCAGTTCAAAGGCTTGACTTCGCGACTTGGGGCCAGGAAGGTGTTGTGGGAAAATCTATTGGCCGTGCGGCAGTGGCGCGTTAATGACACTGCCACCGCTGCGGCAATGTTACCCAGGAGGGTGGTGTGAGCTTCACAGGCAGAAGGCTTCAATGTTTCCTTTATTTCCTGATAAACTTTATGTCACTGCCTGATTGCGGCATTACTTGGGCTTAAAACATTGAAATCTAGTGAAATGTTTAAAACATGCCCTAAATGACTCAAGAACATCAACAACGACCCTGAATGCCCAGGCATACACCAGTTTAATGAGGCATATGCCAGGAGGGGACATGCCACTGACGAGGACTGGCGCGGCGTTGACGCTGCCCGGCGCGACACTGACGCGCATTGGCGCGCATTGACGCGGCACTGACGCGCATTGACGCGCTGCCGGCGCGCATTGACGCGGAAGTTGACGCGGTTCCGGCGCGACAGTTGCGACTGAATGCTTCAGTTTTAGCAGCTCAAAACACTCCGAAAATGTTCAGATACACACCCTGGTAGTCTCTCACCGAGCAGAACACATATGACCTGTATATACCCCCAAGTACCACTATTTAGACTTCAAAATAATACATGTTGTTCGCATTCTGAGGCAATTGGTCCCTATCAAAGCCCAGGTATCTTTCTAAGAGCTGTTTGAACAGTATCCGAGTGTAAAAAGCACTTGGTAGAAAATTATGTAATTGCCGCGTCAATGCGCGTCAGTGCCGCGTCAGTGCGCGTCAATGCGCGCTGCTCGCGTCAATTTCTCCGGACCCGTTGCGTAACACGTGCGCGGGGTCACTGGGCGCCGCCAACGGGCAGCGTGGCAGGCGGCCATGGAGATTTTCGCGTCTGGCGTGCAGTTGGCGCGAATCTTCTGGAATGAGCAGCAGCGAGACCGGGGAATCAAAACGGAAGGCACGGGCGGCGGCGGAAGCGACAGCGGGGGGAAAGGGAGTAGTAGCGGAGACGAAGATGGGAAGCGGCAGGCAAAGGAGCAGCCCCGCGTCCCACGACGGTACCGGTCTCAACGCTCACAGCATGGCACATGTGGTGGAATTTTTCCCACGACAAGGCCTTGACAAGGCCCCCTTTTTCTGGAAAATTGTGAAAGATAGAGGCATGTTGCCCCCTCTCAGTGCCCTCCGACGCTCGCAGACGGCCATCATTCGGGCCGGCACAGTCAGTCATTGGTCAGTCACCTTCCACCCGCTATAGTTGCGCTATAGAGGGAGGCCTGGGAGGTGGAACCAGGTCAGGCGCCACACGTGAGGAAATGTGCTTAACGCACTCGTGTCGTCGTCGCGACGTGGCATGTGGGGATTTGCGTGATTACAGGGCTGGACCGTCGGTGGTCGCAGAACGCGGGTGCGTAACCGAACCACGTACGAGCGCGTATGGTCACCAACAGTATTTTGGCGGTGGAGCGGGAATTTTAAAAAATAATTAGACACGATCAGCGGGAATCTCGACAGAGAGGCGCGTCGCAGAGAGGTGGATTTCCTTCCGTTACAGTGTTTTGGACTGTTCTTCTGCCTCTGTAAATTATTGGCCACGACCCTGCCTGATCTCCGTTTCTGAGTTCACATTCTACGCGGGGGTTCAATTATGGAGGAATGAGACCCGGAGCGGAATAATCGTATTTATCCAGGATGCGGGAATTCCTGGTTCAACTCCAGGCTGGGTCATCGTTGAGGTCATTGGATTTTTGTCCTTGCGCTCTGCCTCCTTCTAACTCCCCCTCGACACAAGGCTTAATGGGACGAGAATAAGACCCAGTAGCGGACGGTCCGCACCTGCCTTTGTAGGGAAAGGAATAAGCATGTTTGTTCAGCGAGAGTTCCTGGTTCGACTCCAGGCCGGGTCATAGCTTGAATTTTATTCCTTTGCACTCTGCCGCCACCTGCTAACTCCCTCTCGACGCAGGAGTTTAATGGCGTGGAATGAAACCCAGTAGCTCCGCGCCCGCGCCGTAGAAAATGAAATGATCATGTTTGTCCAACGAGAGTTCTGGTTCGACTCCAGGCTGGGTCATAGCTTATGGGTCTTGATTTTTTTTCCCTTTGCGCTCTGCCACCACCTGCTAAATCCCCTCGAAGCAGGAGTCCAATGGCGTAGAAAGGGACCCAGCAGCGGACGGTTCGCGCCCGCAGCGGTTAAAAAGAGTGCAAGGTAAGTAATGTGGCGAGAGTTCCTGGTTCAACTCCAGGCTGGGTCATGCATGATGCAGTCTCTGCATTCTCTTTTCTAACGCCTCCTTATAACCCACACTCAAGAAAGGGTTTAATAGGAGCAATGAGACCCAGTAGCGGACGCTCCGCGCCCGCGCCCTGTAACTCTTGACCCAGCGTGATGCGGGAATCCCTGGTTCGACTCCAGGCTGGGTCATAGCGAAGGTTCTTCCCTCTGTTTTTCCTCTATTGTGATCTTGCGCCTCCTTCCAATTTGTCCTCGACGCAGGAGTTCACTGGCTGGGAAAGAGACCCAGTAGCGGACGGTTCTGCGCCCGCGCCGTATATAGATGAAATGAATTTATGTTTGTCCAGCGACAGTCCTGGTTCGACTCCAGGCTGGGTCACGATGAGATCCTGATCTTTTTCGGGAGCCCGCTAAGAGCGGTTAGGCTCAGGATCGCCTTCTAACCCACAGTCAATACAAGGCTCAATAGCGCAGAAATAGTCCCGTAGCGGACAGTCCGCGCCCGCACCTGGTTTGCCATTCATGTGAATCCAGCGGGAATCCCTGGTTCGACTCGGGCAAAGGGATTAGGCCGCCACTGCCACCACTGGCGGCAGTTGGCGGCAATAATGTGGTGGCTTCACCAATGGATGATAAAGCTTCCACACCGTTTAGTTGAACTAAAATACCAATGTAGTCCCCTTTACAGGTACTTTCATGCTGTATTGACTATTTCCCTGTACCATGTGAATCTACGAATCCCATTGAGAAGACCATTTCATTGTGACACAGCCACATGGGTAAGGTATGGATTTAACCTTGCAGAGGGTCATAAAATCATCCCAGGTTCATGCTACAATTTTAGTCAAGTGATTCGGCCCAGAAATGGGTGCAAACCACCCCACTCATTACTTTTGGCCACCATAACAGATACACATACTGAAAACATTGGATGGGGGTGGAAGGTGGGCTATCAACACAAGGGAGCGCTTGCGTTGCGCAAGGGCAACAGGTCCGTCCAAGCAGACTGTAACATCACATGATCTGAGATACACAGGAATCTCGACCTGGACAGTAACTGAGACATCTGTCTGCTTCCACCGTTGCCCATCCCAGAAAGAGGAGTTCCTGGCATTCAGCTCACCAACAAACTGGATGATCAAAGGCGAATCCTTGGGATGAAAGAGGGGAAAGTGTAGCGCAACAACAGAGAAGGCTTCAGCAGGATCATGGTCCTGTTATGGATGCTTTAAAAGGAGGAAGAAGAGCAGAACATCACGTACTTTGGCCCACCAAAATGCCTCAACCGTTTGTGCCCTGGCTTTTTATAGGCGGCTGCTTGATTTCTCCACTGAGCTCAAATTTAAAACTGCCCGCTTGAAGTTTGACAGCATAAGAAGGGTCTCCAGGTCTTGCATAAGGCTTGGCAAGACTAAGTGACGTGGGTGTGGACAGTGTGGCTGGAAGTGAGGCTGACAACACAGACAAAGTGGAGCTGGTTGCAGTTGATGGGGCAGTTGAAGTGGATGATGAGGTATGGACGGTGAAGGAATTCACAACGTATCGGGAAGGTTCGTTGTGTGAAGCCGTCCTGCAGGCAGCAGTGGATGCCACACAGCACCGCTTGCAAAATAGCTGCACGCAATTGTCGTTGCGGTCCGAGTGGCAGTTGGCCGCGGTATTTGAACAGGGCTCCCGCGGTTTTCGAGGTGAGGATGTGTGTGATGATGTGCCCGACGACATGGACAGCGAGCTGTCAGGAGAGCCCTGAGGGTGGGAGGAGGAAGTGACTGGTCCCTTGAAGCCGTGTTGGACTGTGTTGGTGTCGTTCCAAAGAAAGAACTTACAGCCAGCGTTTGGCGTAAAGTCGTGTCGGGCACACTGAGAATGTTGAGGTAGGGAGACAATTACAGGAAGGAAATTATGCACATGCTGGAAAGTACGTCCCTCGTTTTCAGGGTTGAATGTTCCAAGACACTCTCTGGGGGCAGTGAGAAAGTGGGCCTTGCACCTGGGGCACACTTTGTCTGACAACTTTAAGATCATGTGAAGTTGCCGTACAGCATAGTGGTTTGTGCCTGTTGTACATTTGGAGCAGAAGGTTTGAGTCCAAGGAATGACTGGAGGATATAGTATGGTATTTCTCAAACTTTAGTTTCAAGATTTCTTTGGACTGATTCCATTCGGATAATGCTTGGGCGATAACTCTCAAAAGCAATTGGATACGGTAAGGCTGGACGGAAATGTTGCACCCAAATTGTGGGGAGAAAATGTAGAGGGAATGCGTGAAAGGCTTAACTTGATGGAATGTGGTTAGAAATAAGCTGGAAGAGATAACCGTAGATTAATCAAGAACAGAATGGCTACAGGGAAGTGTGGCAGAGTAAATTGGTGGAAGGTTTGGCTGCAGCTCAAGTGCCCAGGCTACCGCTCAAACGGATCACTGCAACTAATCCCTAAAGGGAAACCCTGAAGCTGTCCGGTTGTCCGGTCATCCGCCGGACAGTCCGCCATCATACCCATAGTCAGTGTTGGCTTAAGGTTTAAGGCCTTAAATCAATTAAGGGTTATTAAGCCTTTAACCGTTAAGGCTTAACGGTCCGGCCCAGAAAGTTAAGGCTTAAAGATTCGGAACATTCCGTGCCGAGCCACCGGGTCCCCGAGATTTTTTTTTGTGCTGCCGCAGGTAACTCTTTGGCATCTGATAAACGTGGAAGTCGCTGATTTCCCTGGCTGCGAACAAACAATGTGTAGAATAACCTGCAAGTGTGGATCTCTGTCCTGAGGTGGAACTGATGGAGGTGTTGACCGAGAAAAAATATGACTGTTGGCGGCAATTAAAAATTCTGGACCACTTTCAAGCTTTGGAATGACTTTCCAACTCACATTTTAGATTATGGGATGCTCTACGAGGCTCTACAGGTGCGAAATGGAGCGTGGGAAAGTATGTCCCAAAATGAATTTAAGCCCTTAATCCTGCCCTTAAAATTAACCCTTAAACCTTATTAAGCCTTAACCTGCTTGGGGCGAAGGATTAACCCTTAATTGCCAACACTGCGGGCCATAGTTCCATAGCTCTCCGAGAATCGCTTCTCAAAAAGGGTCCGTCAAAGCTCAGGTTGGTTATTACACGGTTCTGATGCCAGTCAATTTTGAAAACCGCCTCAGAACCGACCATCAGAATCGCCCCAAAATGACTAATTATTTTTAGTCTGACTGCCCCTATTGGATGACAGCAGCCATCGAGGCAAATCCATCCTCCGGGCGGCGTGCGGGCGGGTCCACGAAGGCTTCGAGAATACTCTTCAATTCTACCTACCTACCTACCCGCCCATTAATAAGCTGTCTCGGTAACACAGACCTCAGGGTGTGATGCTGTCAAGGTCAGTCGGAGTTTGAAAAAGAAGGTGCACAGATGAGACCCGAAGGTCTGGGGTATTTCGTATAGTAACACCCCCCATCGTATCACATCTCTCGCCCTCCTTCCCTTCTGTGCCCTACCTAACCTCGGGGTGCATCCTACCAATACATATAGATGCTTAGATGTACTGGAAACTTTCCCCGTCCTTTTTGCGCCACTTTACGGACAGTCAAAGCCAACTGCAAAATCACATCCTTTTACCCTACTGCCCTTTCTTTTGACCCCCTGTGACTGGGAAAAAAGCCCGAAACCATTGCCTATGGTCTAATGTATCCTAGTATACACTTACTTGTGGACCCCCACCGACCTGTCGCATATCCTGAATCATTTCGCCCCAAGCGGGATATCGTAATGTGACTTGATGGGAGGCTTCTGTATACGAAACAAGATATGCCTTCGCTTCGCTCCGGCGCAGGTTTCTCAGAATCTCAGCTCTCAAGGTACGGGTATAGTTGAATCAAAATTTGGACGGGCATACAATAAATTGCATATAATTTAAGACAGATTATTATCACATCAGCAGTTGGTGCAGTTGGTGCTGGAGGGAGAGTAAAAATAATAATAATGAAAATTTCTCGGATTCCTACGGCACGAAGGTCACGATCTGTCGCACGATATTAGGTAAATATTGACAGATTGAGGTTGAACAGAGCTGAACTTACTTGAAGCACAAAATCGGCCCGCGGGGAACCTGTAAATGTTTCGCGGTTGGCTCTTCAGTTGGCTGGCCGACATATCACGGCAGAGTCTGTGCTTGGTGCGCAAGACTGTCCTGAATGATGGTGAACAACTCCGTAAATATTCAGGGACAGTGCACACCAATGGTCATCCCGGAGGAAACATTACGAAAGGAAGACGATCACTTGGGCAACCGTTGTGTGCGCAGGCAGCGTAGGGGGACGTGGCTCGCAGTAGGGATTATCTTTGGATTACACTGAAAGGATCAAAACACAGAAGGATTGGTGTGTTCGACTTGGAAGTTGGCAGCGCTTAGAGCGGCGATGCGAGAGACACCGAGATCGATGGCATCGAGAGAATGATGGACCCCGAGACGCAGCACACTCATAGCATCATCTTTGCATCATCTAGAATATATCCTTGAGCCGCAGAGAAGATTCGTGTTGCGTGGGCTTGTGGTATTTGGGTCAAATTGAAATTGAATTTTGCATGAAGAGTGCAGTCGGAGAATGCAGTCGGGGGGAATTAAGCGTGCAGATGTGCCTTTTTAAGTTGAACGAGGTAGCCGTGCAAAGGGCTACGCGACCGCAGCATACGGGGTGCTGTCTCGTATGCGTCTTGCGGCAGATACTGTGGATTGGCTGAATACTCATCTGGCGTGATGAACTTTCCTCGACAGCTGTTGAGAGGCCCACGAGGTTTGTTCTAAGTTCCTTATCGGGCTAAGAACTCGGGGAACTGAGAGTGTCTTGACTCCGCAAGGAGCAGGAGGAAGCATGGGCTCGGCTGCTCGTCCCGACTGTCCACATGGGGTTTAATTCTTGAGCTCACGGTAGCAACAACTGCGCGCACAGTGGGAATATTAGTGCGCATGGGATAATCGTTTGAACAGCACTTGATTCAGGCGTAGTTTATTATCATTGCCAGGGCCCATTTTACGTTGAGGATGTAGGATGAGAGAGAGATAAGAAGAAGGAAGTAAGTTCAATTGGATGGCGATGGAGAGGCTATTCAAAGCCTACTTTCTGCGCTCGGACATTTGAGTAGAAGGAGAGCATGAAACGGAGAAGTTCGGCTCGTATGGCAATGGAATCAAGTAGGAGCACAGAATTTAAACCAGCCCTGCAGACAGATCAATCGTCTCGAGCTCTGCGTCGACTTTCTCGAAAGCGCGGGTTGCCAAATCAGCCCCTCGAGGAGGGGATCAGTGCATTGCGCTGTTTCTGGATGGCTACATCTCTACGTAGGTAGATGCAGCCAATGCTACCTACAAAAGCTGCTCCGCGGGTGCGCCAAAGGAA